TAAAATCCTGTTACTCTTGGATATTTTTGTTTGTTTGTTTTTGTTTTTAAGATATACCTGCGAGGTTAAGACCTTTCCAGTTTATTCTCCATTTTTAAAATGTTTCTTCTATTTTTTTCCTGGACCACATTTCATCCCCTCCACCTAACTCAGAAACTTGTAGAATGAGTAGTTCTTAGTCCAATTGCTGCCAACTACTTCAAAGATCTTAAGCTTTAACTCGAAGGCTGACAAGATTGGGGGCAAAAGTAATGCTTTGCAAAGGACAAACAAGGCTAATTTTACATACTGTAACATCATCTGATTCTTTAAATTCAAGTTATTCTGCCTAGAATTAATGGATAATTTTTAAAAATTTCCTGTATGTTGAGCCTTCATTTCAGACATGATTCTTTTCTGTGATTTAAATAAATCTTCAAATTAATTGCATCTGTAAATACCCTCAGGTGATCTCTGGTTGCACCAGCTGGTTTTATGGGGAGGGGAATATAAAACATCATAGAAAATAACTGATAGAAGTTAGAAGTAATTGTCTTCTCATTTGCTAGCTCTTGATAAAGATTCTGACTCAGACTTAAAAAATTGAGTATCGTTTTCTGTCTGTATCCAAGTACATGCAAAGATAAATTGTGGTTGTAATACAAGTCCTTGCTTGTTGAATTGTTTATCAACATAATTTGCTTTTCAGTACTAAAGTAAACCTAGTTACAGCTAGCTTACTATAACAGTTGGTGACAAGAAGACACAATCCTTTTAATTTGCATTCCTTGAGCGCTGCCTGGGGGCTGTATTGCAATGGATGCAGGAGAATGGACAAGACAGAGGTTTTGAGAGTGGGCGCCCCTCCTATCAGTGGTTTGGGAAGCTCCCTCTCTTTTGCAGTTGTGGGGTCCATCTTGACCCAGCACTTACCATGGAGTCCCAAGTAGCATCTGTGATACACTGCCCACCTACATCTTTGGGGATTGCCCAGCTGCGCTCCTATCTTGATGTTGGGACGCTCACCGCTTTGGTCCATGCGCTTGTAACCTCGGTACTTGCCATGCCCGGCATTCTGCAGTTTCTCTTGCCACTGCTTCCTTTTCCTCTCTCAGACGGCGGCTCCACTCCATTGTCTCGGATTCACCCCAGTAAGATGGGCGCTGGGGTAACCCTCGGCGGCGACGATAATCAGCCTCTTCTTTTGGCATTTTCACCCATTCCCATTGTCAGGTCCATGGATCTTCTAACCAAATTAATTCCCACCCTCCTGGTATTTTGTCCTGGTTCGTATTTATATCCCCTGTGCCCGCCTCCACCACAGACCACCCTCTTTCCTCCTTTCCCGCCAACTCCGGTTCTGTCTGGGTAGAGATGGTTAACCCCTTCAGACCCGTTTCCAAATCCCGAGTGTCTAACCCCTGATGAACCATTTTAGGAGTAGGTGGTGGAGTAGTCTGCATGCTTCTAGAGCAGGGGTGTCCAACCTCTCACCCTCCCTGGGCCACATTAGAAGATGAAAATTTGGTTTGGGCCGCACATAAATTTGGTTTGGGCCGCATGGGGGGGCAGCCTTAGCCATCCTCCACAGCCCTGCTCCAAGTGCGCTTACCGGCAGCTGCGATCTCAGACAGCAGAGGCTGCCAGCTTCGACTCCGGTGGCTTTATGGGGCCAGGAGGGGGTCCACCTATTGACGGGGACGGCGCAATGCAGACACGCAGCCCCCCTGTCCCCTCCCACTCCTTCCTTCCTTCCCTCTCTCCCCCTCTACTGCTGTGACATGCCCCGGCCACATTCCGGCCACAAGCGCCGGCATTGTAACTTGAAACTTTGGAATTTCTTTAAAAATAAAAAATTGCACTGGGTTGCATTATGAGCTGACCTGGGCCGCATGCGGCCCTTGGGCCGCAGGTTGGACAAGCCTGTTCTAGAGGCTTTCCTGAGAGACGGCACTCCAGCGAGAACCTCCCGGGTCTCGTCTCTGGTACTACAGTTCGCCATCGGGTCCCTTCCAGATCTACAGTTCTAAGATTCTAAGAGTCTTAAGCAATCAACAAATTTTAATTGATCACTAATTGCATGGTGGCCAGTGTTGAATTTAGTGATAACCAGTGTTGGTTGGTTACTTGGTTAATGATTTCTTTTTGCATTTTTATGTCTATTTTCTCCTAGTATTTGACTCCAACAGTTCAACTCTTTGTCTTTTTCTTTAGCTCTTCACATCTTTAAGGATCTGTGTTTTGTATATTTAATGAAGATCAATAGGGGGAAGGAGGCAGTTAGAGATCTTTAATAACCTGTCTACTCATTACCTTAAAATATTGTTAAAATATGTGCTGAGTAAGTTTTTGTGAGCTTCTTTATTTGTATGTATTGAGGAAGATTTTTTTTACCCACTCCCTCACAACCATTAATCTCAGTTTTTGACTTTTAATCATAGTTCAAGATATAACAGTACTCAAATATTGATCTTTATGCTCCTGTACAGTTCGTCTCTTGGCTTAGCCTTAATTTTTTTTAAGTACAATTTTTAGCTTTGGTTACAACTTTTAACTGTGGATTCTGGAAAAATATGCAGGTGACATTTGCCATTAGATGCATGCATAACTCATGAAATTGCGTGCATGAACAGTACAAACTGAATAAATGTTTTGTTTGTGCATGAGTAGTTCTAAAGGAATTTACATATTTTTATCTGGTCATGCTGATAGCATGAGTAATAGCAGCTTTGTCAGATCCCTTCTGTGACAGTCTCAGCTGCTCACTCACACACGCTTGAATTGGACAAAGGAAATGGCAGAGGTGAAAGGAGAATTTTTCGTTGTGTCTCTTGTTGCTGGTGCCATAGCAATAAAACGTTCTTTGCTTGAGGACTTGGCTGCTCAGGTGAAAATGGCTGAAGTATATACAGTAGGAGGATATATTTAGAACTGGGGTGGGAGCTTTTCTGCGAGATGAATGGAAAGTGCAATTGAATTGACTCCCTGGATGGTGACCTGATTATCACCCGTTTAGAAGCTAAGCCTATATTTGTTGTTGTTACGTGCCGTCAAGTCAGAACTGACTTATAGTGACTCTTAATAGGGTTTTCAAAATAAGTGAGGTATTTAAGAAGTGGTTTTACCAGTTCCACCCTCCAGTGAGTTTCCATGCGAGAGCCAGAGGAAAACTCAGGTCTCATGTATCTTAGTCCATTACTCTACTCACTATACCACACCGGATACAGTGGTGCCTTGCATAACGAGGGCACCATTTAACGAAGAATCCGTATAGCGATCTATTTTTTTAGATCGCTAATGTGATCGCATTGTGATGTTTTAATGGGTAAAACATCGCATTGCGATGATTGGTAAGCGTTTCACTTACCGATCTTATAGCAATGTTCCTAGAACAGCTGATTGGTGGTTCCAAAATGGCCGCCGGGTGCCCAAAATGGCCGCTGCAAGCGTTTTCACACCCTGCCCTCGCTTACTGAGGGCGCGAAAATGGTGGCGCTATGGAGGAACTTCGCTGAACGGTGAGTTTGGGCCCCATAGGAACGCATTAAATGAAGTTTAATGCATTCCTATGGCTTTTTCCGTTCCGTTTAGCGATCTTTCCTCATAGCGACGATTAATCCGGAATGGATTAATGTCGCTATGCGGGGCACCACTGTACTATGATGCTATATACACATGGCCAAATAATTTCACGTTTCTGGGACACCTCTGATTTAATGTCTTTTTATGTGTGCATACTTGAAAAAATAGTTTAGATTTGAACAGAGTCAAAAGCCAGTGTAGTGTTGTGTGATTGTACGAGTGAGAGACCTAGGTTCAGGTCCCCACTCAGCCATTGAAATTCACTGAGAGGTGGCAACCGTGAACTGCTCTTTAAACATCTGCACCTGGAAATTCCTCCTTGGTTTGCTGTAAGTTAGAAATGACTTGGTAGCACACAGCAAAAGAACATAGTGATGTGTAAAGAGGAATTCTTCAACACATTATCCTTGTTTATAAGAGAAAATATTTTCTGATGACATGGTTATTGGACCTGGCATGATTATTGGATGGTATCTTGGTATGTTACACTTCAGAGGCAGTAGCAATGCGATTTGGGCTGTTCCAGACAAAGCAGACAGAATTTTTGTGACATGATCCTACAAACCTTTTATAAATCCCAAAAGGATGGATTTTGGGCTGTGCTGCTGGGACACAAGAGGAAAAGTGGTTAGGAAAAAGACTGGGGAAAAGTTAAAGTTCTCTCCATAGGTGATGATCTGCAAAGCTTGAGTTCTTTTTTAAAAAGTTGTTTCTTATGTGAACTAAGACTGATTTTTCAGTGGTTGAGAAATGCTGATCCCACTTTCCACATATCTTTGCTTTGACAGTAAGGCCAGTTATGGTAGTCAACAGACCCAGTTGCAGTCCCCAAAGCAAGTTCCCTCATCACCAGGGAGCAGCCTCTCTGTTCTCTTGCTGCTTTGAGTTCAAATAATGACTTTATTCCATGCAACATGTCTAATTCCCAGGGTACTGTATCTGATGCCAGCCAAGCTCAGAAAGGATTTGTAGGACAGAATTGAAAGAACAGAAGTGCCTTTGCCTTATGTCTTGTCTTTTTCTGTCTTACTACAATTTTTGCAGGTCCCAACTGAGGTATTTCTGCACAGCAGTCTTATTTTTTCCTAGCTTTCATCTGGCATTAATCTGCTTTAGTTATCTTACTGAAGTGATTTTTATTTATTGTTATTCTTAGTTTTTCATCTTGGTCCAAGACTTTCCATTGGGAGGGGGACTTCATGACAGAATTTAAACTGTTTAGTTTCCCTGTTTTGTTAATGATTAAATTTTTGTATTTTGACTGTGGGGCATAACACAAAATACATGGCATAAAAGGTTTGATCAATGTTATGTCTTGCTTGCCTGCAGGTTGTTTTAAAACCAACTCTGCTATGCGTGCTTTATTGCTTTAATGTAAATATGCTTAGCATGTGGTTTTTCATGTGCTGTTAAGGAAGCTGTATGTGTTTCTTTTTTAGGATTCAGTGGTCGCAGTTCAAAGGCTATTTTATTTTCAAATTGGAGAAAGTGATGGATGACTTCAGAACTTCTGCTCCTGAGCCAAGAGACCCCCCTAACCCAAATGTTGAGTATATTCCCTTTGAGGAGATGAAAGAACGTATTCTGAAAATAGTCACTGGCTTTAATGGGTATGCAATCTAACATCAAACTCAAGTTGTTGTTTGGACTGCATGATTTATTAGTCTTACCTTCATATTGTAGCAATTTTCTGCCATATGTGCAGCAGAATGAATCATTGCTATAAATGTTTGTTGGCAAAGTCACTGTATTGTAATAAACTTTCTGAAGTGTCCTTGTATGAAAACACTTGCTTACATTCTCTCTGCTTTATTTAAAGAGGGACTGCTTCTCTTTAAAGGTTGCACCTTCATATTTGCATGGCAATTTTTGATACTTTACCAGGGGAATAAGTTCTAGTTGAATATATAGTGAGAGCAAAATATTTATTAAAGTAACTATTTTCTGATTGCTGCTGTAGTTCAAAATATGCATATTTATATGGAAATAGTTATACTTAATCTTAAATTTGGCAGAAATTAAAATCTGCATATTCATACACAGTGGGCTGGTTTAGACACAATGCTGATTCTGTCTTCAGTATGATTAAGAGGTCAGGAGCCAGCCTCCACATTGCATCTTTTAGTAGGGATATGGACAGTGAAAACTTTAAATTCTGTTTCATGTTGGGTTCTTTTACAGTTTACTTCTTTTGTTTTCATGAACTGACCCTTTCATTTAACATGGAAGAGACTGCCTCTAATAGATTATTTTGTTTAGTCCCCCACCCCCTTTCATATTTTCTGGTGCTAGTCCAAACAAGCCTAAGCAACCTGTAAAAATTAACCCAGAAAACAGTGACAGGGCATCAGAAAATCAGTCTGCTTTTAATGCTGGAAGCAATACAACCAACAGCCACTGTCAGAAACAAAACAAATTAGTTTCCCGAGATCCCAGCAAAATGTACACTTTGAACAGAAAACAGTAAACGAACCAAATAATATATTTTAAAAAATCAGTCAAGTGGGGAAAGCACCCACCCACCCACAAGGAGAAGAAATAGCCAACTAAAAAACACACAGAGAATCTCCCTGCCAAAAGCAAAGCAAGTGAAGACAAAAAATACAATCAAGGCCTCCAGCCAAAACTACTATAATGCTGGAAAATTTTCCCCCCCACCACTTGCCTTCTCTTCCTTTCTTTGAATCCATCACAGCAGCTGTCAAGCAGCAAAAAATAATCCAAGAAAAGAAACTACCAAAGAGGGGGAAACCTTCTCAAATAAACGGAAAGGGGAGAGATTTTTTTTTTAAAAAAAAAATCTTGAGGCACACTGGCATAGGCAGGTGGCAACAACAAAAATAATCCAAAGAAATGGAAATGAAGCCCCCACAAAAATCAAGGGAAAGAAGGATAGCTCTAAGATAGAGACACAGGTAGACAACCAGGCAAGTAGTCTAGGAGCTCAAAAAGAGGGGAAGTGGCTCATAATTGGTAATTCAGTGTACAGGGACACAAACATTTTCATCTACCATCTGAAGCTGATTGATTTGCTATGACACATTAGATGGTCCTTGATCACCTTATTCACTTAGGTGAACTTGCTCTAGGTAGTTCATTACTTGTGGCAGCTGAACACACTATGCTTCTTAGTCTAGTACTTTCCAATTTTATAAATTGTACATTAATGTTGAATTCTTCAAATACCCTGTAATTTTGAGTATATAAAGACACTATCATTATAAAAATTAAATAAAAATAGAACCGTTCAGCCGTCTGATTCAGGAAACCCATAAAATAACATGTTGCTATACATTCTGATCAAGTTTCAAATTTTTTAAGCTGGATTAATTATTTACTATTTGGCTAATAAAAATATGTGTTTTATCACATGCCATAATGTTTAAACTCTTAAATCCATGAGTGTTGGCTGTCTTGTCACAGTATATAAAATAGTGGAAAGAAACATTGTTTTTAAAAGTATTTTTAAAATCTTGAAATCCTCAAGCTTTAATCAGTTGGGGAGTAAAATTAATCAGTTGGGGAGTAAAATTCTATAAAGTATAATTTAGAAGAATGATAAAATTCGGAGCGTTTGGAATTTTATTTGTGTAGCTAACCTTATACCTCTTTAGTGTGGTTGCAACACATTACATATTTAGCTTTTCTTCTGCCATTAGGGAGTAGCCGGCAGAAAGGCTCCCTTAGCTCATCCTTACATGCTGATTTGAAGAATCTCTTAACCTCTGATGCAGAGCATAGAAATTGTAGGGGAAAGGGAAGAATCATTCTAGTACGTTAATATTTTCAACAGTTTTGGTGAAGAAATTGCCTGTGAGGGAAGCCATTGAGGAACATACATATTATGTAATGCAAGGAGTCAGCAGTTAATTTCTCTGATCAAACAAATCATTATCTGTACATGATAACTGTGATTATCAGAACTCTTTTGGATATCCTTCAGCATCCCTGGGGCATTGTGGAGTAAATGCATTGTCTTTTAAGTGATTTTTGTGGTGCTATAGCTCCATCTACTGCTCATTTAGTCTATTATGTTTTTAGATATATTAAAAAGAGAGGTGTTCTATTTATGTGCACTTATAGTAACCATGCAGATAATTACAAATCAGTGTATAAAATGATCAGGGCTATTGCTTCTCTACAGTCCAATATCCATTCAAAACAAAATTTAATTTCTCTGCATTTTGTTTCAGTATCCCTTTTACTATTCAGCGACTCTGTGAGCTGCTGACAGATCCAAGAAGGAATTACACAGGAACAGACAAATTTCTTAGAGGAGTAGAAAAGGTAATTGGTTATCTCATCTTGAATTGTTGGCCAGTTAATACTGTAGTTCTATTCTTACCAAATGTGTGTACATCTGTTGCAGCAATTTTAGCAGTTATTCAGAGAGTTCAAAATGACTTGCATTCAGTGGTTTGTTACATGATTAACTCTTCTCACTTACAGTTACTTCTCACTTCTCTCCAGACAATTCCTGACGTCCTCTTCTTTTTCTTTCCTGTCATCTGTTCCCTTCTTCTGTAAATGTTCCTATGTTTCTGTTATATATTTATTGCCTATTTTATGTTGTTAGCCACCTAGAGTGGTCTTAACCGACCAGATAGGCGGGATATAAATAAAATAAATAAACAAATAAATACAAAGCAAAATAGAAAGGTAACATGTTTTGTAGTATGACCATGTTGAAGATTCAGCTCTTCAGCAACAGGTATTGAAAGTGTAGTGGAGAAGAAACTGGGTCTCCATGTGAATTGACAGCAGTTCATATGGTTTTGCAAGGCTGGAGGCTGTGGCTTCCATGTAACTGTATATATAAACTGGGTTTATGTTTTCTTGCTTAAAGGTTGGAATCCTTTTGAGCAAGTTATGCCATACAACTCTGGTGACATCATCAGCTGCAGCAGTTTCAGGGGAATTAAAGGTTTCCCATCTTCTTGCCAGATTCTAGGGATCCCTAGGGATACCCTTCATTCTAGGGACCCTTTGAGACCCATGGAACAGGGTAGGTAATTTTGCAGCTTGATATCAAGCTGGAAAATTGCCATCCCCAGCTTCCTGGGACAAAGGCTGTCTCTCCTCACCAGGAGAGAATGGTGGCCTGCAGATGATACAATCAATCAATCAATCAATCAATCAATCAATCAATCAATCAATCAATCAATAAATTCGGAGCGAGTTATCCCTAGAAGCTAGTGAGGGGAATAGAGAATGGTGGCCTGCAGATGATACAATCAATCAATCAATCAATAAATTGGGAGTGAGTTATCCCTAGAAGCTAGTGAGGGGAATTGGAAGCTTTTAAGTTCCCCCAAATGGCCATGACAATGCCTCAGTTTATGATGTCACTGATTACAGTATACCTTGTGCCTACTGGATTGAAGCGACTGAACCACATGAGACGTACATTCCACTTTTTGCATAACATAGGTAGTACAAGTGTAGCTTATTATATGTGATAGAAACTTCACTGTTAACTACAAGGGCTATTCTCTTCATCTTTTGACAAAGCTGCTGTGGTGCCACAGAATGTTTTTTAAAATGTTACACTTGGAATGAGCAATGAGTGCTCATCCAGAAGATGTACATTGCAGTTCCAATTGTTTCTCAACATATGTTCTGTTCTTTCTTTGTCTTGCAGAACGTCATGGTTGTCAGTTGTGTATATCCATCTTCAGAGTGAGTGCAACCTTTGTTTTTCTTTTTATGAGACTATTCTACCTATTTTTAGTTGGCGGTGTCTGTAATGTTAGTAGCAGCATCTCTATCTGAAGGTGTGTCTTGTGTTTTAAAGGCATGAGCTATTATTGCATTGCTCGTTAGAGCTTCTAGCAGTGCTCTTCTGATATGTAAAGAGCAATATGATATATAGCCAACTGGACAAACAAGTATAATGGACTGTCTTAAGTACGTTCAGAATTATTAACTTTAGGGAATACCTTCTGATGGGACATAAGATCAGCTTTGGAATGATTAAGATGAGGCACAATCAAGTAGCTCTGCAGTCCTGAGTCACAGGATCCAGCTAATGGGTGGCCTGCACAGTAGCTGACTCTTGGCAGGGTGATGATCCTCCCTGCTGAGATCCTGAATGAAGTAGCAAGGTGCAGATGGTGAGAGGCAGCAGAATAGCATATGGCTTTGTTGCCAGGAAAGGGCTGCATTCATTTAGGAGGGGAATAGAAAATAAGATGAAATAACCTGTATGCTTGTTCCGGCAGCCTGATATTGTCACCTGAATATCTTTCCATTTTACTCCTGTATCTAAAACTATTCTGGCCCTTTAATCCTTAAAGTGGGTGGTGCTGGTGGAAATGGAAAAGGGATAAGTTTCTCAGTCAGTAGGTGTGTGTCACTTTATTTAATGCTTGAGATTAACTGCAAACTGCAAAGCTGAGTGAAATGCTGAATTGAATTGACAGAACCACATATGGATGAGAGCCAAGATACTGCTTTAAAAGAGAGCAATCCAGTTGTATATAAGCTAGGTGGAAGATTTGAAAAATAGGCCTTAGATCTCTTGGGGAGGGTGGGTGGCGAAATGCACATTAGAATGAGTCCAGCTGTGTACATTGGTGAAGACTGTAAATGATACCAAAGTGAAAATATAAGAATATTCAAGGGAATCCAGAGAAATGGAATGTTCTTGAACAATTCATGAAACAAGAACAGAACAAGAAATTTATAGAAGTTCAATTTAATCATCTGAAAAATATCCCTTGGAATTAAAATCCCTAAATATGTTAATACCTCTGAACACTGACATAATTGCCATTTTTATACAATGCCAGTTCTTTATTATTACCCACTGGCATTAACTCTGATTTTGCCCAATTAATTGTATATCCTGAGATTTTGCCAAAAATCTCAATTATTTTCATTAATTCTGGTTTGCTAATACATAATAAATCATCAGCATATAAAGCTAACTTAAATTCAGCTTGCTCATGGACAAAGCCGTGTATTGTTCTATTCTGTCCAATGCCACATGCTAGTGATTCCAAGCATATATCAAATAAAAAGGGAGATGGGGCAACCCTGTCTTGTACCCCTCTGCAAATAAAAAGATTCAGAGATGTCAATTTACCCTTACTTGTGACTTAGAACAAATACATAAGATTTTAACCCATTTTATAAATTCTTGTGGAAATCGAAACTTTCCTAAGATTGCTAATGTAAGTTGAGATAATTTATCAAGTGCTTTTTCAGCATCCAAGGAAACAAGTGCAGCTGGGTCCAATCTTTTAAGGGCTACCAAATTTGTTACTAATTAGAAATGATTTGCTCCCTGTCTATGCTGAATTAATCCCACTTGGATCTGGATGTATTACAGTTTAAATTACAGCCTGGACTCTATTTAGCCAAAACTGCAGATAATATTTTAGCACCTATCTTCATTAAGGAGATTGGCCTGTAATTTCCACAATTTGTATGGTCTTTATCAGGTTTAGGTGTAACAGATATATATGCATCATACATAGAAGTTGGCAAACTATCCATTTCAAGGGCTTTTTGATACACACAGGAGCCAAAAAATCTACATATGTTTTGTACTATTCTATAGGAAAACCATCTGCCCCTGGTGTTTTTCCATCTTTCATTTTCAGAATAATCCTTTTAATTTCTGCCATTTATAATGGTCTTGAAAGAGTCTCTCTCTCTTCTGTATTTAGCTGTGGAAGAACCACTTGTGAAAAAAAATTCAATTTCATCACCTCCAGGGTGTATTTTATATATAATTTAGTATTTCTGGAATTCTAAGTTTATTTCTCTAGATGTTTTGTATAATATATTTTGATCCCCTTTTATCAAGGGAACATAATTCCGATTTTTTTGTTGCTTTAATTGAGATACCAAAATTTTACCTGCTTTCTCCACACTTTAGTTACTCTCTTGATGATGATGTAGGACAGTGGTAGTTATATAGATGGGAAAGCCGGACCGGGGGGAGGGAGAGAGAAAAAAATTGGGGGGAAACAGTTCCCACCCCCATTTTTTTCCAAAGTTTTTTTTGTGTCCCCCCCCAAAAGGAGTGTAGAATATGTTCTTTTGCAATGATAAAATAATATGCCCATTATGTGATATTCAAACTACAGTATATAACATGAAGATCTTAATGAAAGAGATCTGAGACTTTATGTATTTAAATTCTCTCTAGAGATGTTAAATTTCTGGAAATTTCAATTTTTTTTCCAGAAAAATAAAGCGGGGGGAGGGGAGGGGAGTTTTTTTCCTGGGGAAAAATGTACCGTATTTTTCGCTCCATAAGACGCACCTCTCCATAAGACGCACCAAATTTTCAGGTGAAGAAAACAGGAAAAAATAATCTGGGAATTTTGCTCCATAAGACGCACACACTTTTTCCCCAGTGTTTTTTTGGGAAAGAAAGTGCGTCTTATGGAGCGAAAAATATGGTAAATTGTCAGAAATTTTACAGCTTTACCCACAGGACAAATGGAACTTCTTAAAGAGATTAACTGATTGTTGAAGTCCTTGACAGTTTTGACATACATGTATTCTTTGTGCCAGGGAAAGCATCTTGAGGGTGGACTTCTTGCTTATAGGAGACTCCTGCCAGCAGAAGAAAACAAAGACCTGATGCACTTGTTCCACCACCACCACCCCCAAAAAAAACCTGCTTTAGAGTTCTGGGAAGCCTGAATTAAAAAAGGGAACAGATGAAAATTGCTTTCCCCTTCTGAAAGTGGGATTCTCTCTCAGTTCTAGAGAACAATGGTGCCCCATTTGGAAGGCAGCACATGTCCAAGTCGTATTAGCTCTAAGCATAATCCGAGACGTTCTTGAAGTATTGTCAATTAAATTTATACTAGACTGTCTTGTGAGAAGTACTTTCTAGGTTCAACTAATCTCAGAGCAGAGAAAGTGTGGTGATGGGGTATGAAGAGATGCAGCTGAGACTATAGGAGTGATGGCAGGCAAAAATCAGTGTTGGTATTGATAAATGAGCAGTTTGGTTTCAACATTACTAAAATAGATTTTAAAGTATAATAGAGTTTGATTTGAGACAGATAAGGATACTACAAATGTGTTAAGTTGAAGGTTAAATCATCCTTTATAAAATTCTGAAAGTCTGGGATTTACATTTTCAAATAAAATAAAAATAAACAATGCAGAGATCTTACAACATTTTCATTTTTTGTAGGAAAAATAATTCCAATAGTTTAAACAGGATGAATGGTGTAATGTTTCCTGGAAACTCACCAGGCTATTCTGAGAGGTAAGAGAATAGGTTCTAAGTGGGTAACTGTTCTTGAAAATATAAAATGATAGTTTTAGAATTTGCCTCTGCAAACCTTTTAACAATTGGTGTTTATGAAAAGGTAACCTTTCTGAAGGATCATCAGATAATATTGATTGCAAGGGCTCTGTGCATCCCATGTTGCAAATGAACCTTCACTAATGTGAATGGTTTTTAAGACCTACAGTGGAGTCTTGCCCTACGAATGGCCCAACTTATGGACTTTTCAACGTACGTACAGCTCCAGCTGCAAAATTTTGGATCGACTTGCGGCCAGAGCTTCGACGTACGGACGAAAAAAGCCAGGGAAAAAGGGTGGGAAAATCAAACCGTTGGTGGCAAAGAGACTGCTTCTTTAGCTCTTTCGCCCCAACGGTTTGGAAAAGGGAGGAAGCCGGGCGGTGGGGGAGAAAGGCAGGAGCTAATCTGGCCTTTCTCCCCCACTGGGCAGCTTCTCCGCTGTTGAAATCACCATCGGGCGCAGCGCTTTGGGAGAAGCCTCACGGTGGTGGAGAAAGACTGGATCGTCTCCTGCCGTTCTTCCCCGCCACCCGGCTTCTCCCAGAGGGCTGCCTCGATGGTGGTTTCAGAAGCAGAGAAGCTTTCCGGTGGGGGAGAAGGGGCTGGAACGGATTAATGGGTTTTCAGTGCATTCCTATGGGGAATGCATTTTCAATTTACGGACACCATTCCAATATAGATTAAGTCTGTAGGTCGAGACTCCACTGTATGTGAAATAGATTATCTACTGGTTGTTTTTAAGAGTCATTTAAAGACTTGACTGTTTAGGCAGGTCTTCCCTCCAGTCAAAACTTGATTCTTTTTTCTCTTTAGTTTTCCTTTTCCTCCATCTTGAACTTCTAATTTGTTGATTTAACCATGTGATTGTTTTATGACATATTTTGATAATTACAATGACAATTTTATATGATTATACTTTTTGATGTTTTCTAACTGTTTGTAAGGCACCCTGAGTAGACTCTGTCTAGAGGGGTGGGGTAGAAGTCAAATAATAAATAAATAACAATTTAAAAAAATCTGTATTCTGTCAGATTGAAATAAATATAAAACTTGATATTTTAAATTTAACATTTTGTACGAAAATTGAATTAAACAGCATATGCAGTTAGACCAATCCAGTAGAAGGGGAAAAGTTCAGAATAATAAACGAAAATTACGACAAACCAAAGGTTTTTATTTAATATTTTGTTCAATGTTCTAAATTTCCTATAACATTTCTATTTTTTACAGACTTACTATATTTTTAGCTACAGTCCTACATTTACTATGTAAAGTTTCCATTAAATACCTATCTGTGGTTTATTTCTTAGTAAGCCTGCTTTCGATTCCACCAGATTCTTTTTGCTTACTTAAGTGAAGTTAGTCCATACAGTTAAGTGTCAATTTGCAGCAGTGCTTTGTTCAAAATCGTATCAAATACAACAGTCTCCTTGTAAAAATAAATCTTTTAAAAACAAGCCAGCAAAATAGAGTCCTGGGATCTAGCAGAAGGCTGACATGGAAAGTGTGACTATCAAATTTAAGACTTTCATGTTCTTCGTGGCCTCTGTGAATGTACACAAATGGGTTAGACTGCACCTGTGCAGGCTCCTCGGAATCTTCTAGAGCTTAAAAACATGTGATTAGTAGGATGTTTCCCCATGGCGTGCATGCTCCACCTGCCCATAATACCTCAGTTCCTTCTTGCTACCACTGAGATCGGACTCTTTTGCGACATCTAGAGCTGTTTTGAATTGTTATCTATTTCACGGTTTTCTGATTCTGGTCTTGCTTCCTGACTACTGTTGGTGCTTCTGGTGTACTTTGATCTTTGGACTGGCTTTGTTTACGATTACAATTGTCGGATTAGGATTGACTACCTTTTTGTGATTTCTGGATTATTGACCTTTGGACTGATTACCATTTCTGATTTGGCTTACAGACTTTATCATGATTTTCGTCTTCTAATCTGTTTCGACTTTTAACTTGGACTGGCAATTGTTGACGTTTTCCCATGAGTTTTTCTCTCCCCCCCCTCTTCTCTTCCTGCCAATTTGTATGGCCTCATCAGGTCCCTTTAAGAGCTATATGTCGTGCTAATAAAATCCCCTTCACGGACGGCCACAAGAACTGCTTACAGTGGGGTCTTGACTTTAGAATGGCCCGAGTTAAGAACATTTTGACTTACAAACCACTCTCATAGGAAAATATTGACTGGACTTACATACTTAGATTTGAGTTACGAACTGAAAAAAACCCACGTGGGTGGCAGGGAAAGTGCAAACTTTGAACTTTCAGTTAACTTTTGGCCAGTGAAAAGGGTGCCTGTCTGCTTCCTCACTCCTCCCAGCGTTTAGAGAGGGGATTGGGAGATAATCTTCGGACTGCCTGATACTGTACTGCCTGGACTGTATTTTCCCTGCCTTCCCTGAACCTTTCTTGACCTAAGAAAAAAAGAAACAAAATATCCCCCTCTAGTGGTCGAAGGTGGAATAGCAGCTTCCCGTTAGTTTCTATGGATGGAAAAGAGCAGATGTGGATCAAATGGTTTTCAGTGCATTCCTATGGGAAATGCAGATTTGACCTGAGAACTTTTTGACTTGAGAACCGCCTTCCAATATGGATTAAGTTCTCAAGTCAAGACCCCACTGTATTTTGTTTAGGGGAGAGGCACCAGACCCACTCCTGTCCGGAGTGTAAGAAGTTGACCGCTTACAGCGGCTCCATTCAACTTGTGGCAGACATCTTTATCACCCTCGAGCCCGGCAGACACGGAGCCTACCTTGACTCCTGCTCCTCCTACTCCTCATTCTGAGCCTGCTGTTTCATTGGCTCCGGCCACCCCTTCTCTGCGGGCTTCTTCAAAAGTGCCTAAACCAAAAAAGTCTTCGACATTGATGTTGAGCTCGATACCAAAATCGCCCATGGTAAAGGATCGTAAGAAAAAAAAGAGGTGGTTAAGCAGAAGAAGCCTAAACAATCTGCTAAATCTACTCATCCTTGGGAGCTCCCTCCAGTTCGAATTTCTCTTATGTCACCAGTATTCGAGAAATCGTCCAGAGAGTTACCAGACTCTCTTTCTGAAGTGGGTGATTCTGTACCTCCACCACAGACTCAGGCTTCAGTATTGATAGTGAGCCTATCTCCCACTCCGCTCTTATCAGCCTTTGGGTTCAGAAGCTTCCCGCTTATTTTCACACCCAACTTTAAAGATGTTCCTGAGAGGTTTGCGTAACATTTGCCCACCTGTCCAGCCTCCACTCCCTCAATGGTCTCTCCAGGTCGTTTTACGACCAAGCCCACCATTCAAGCCCATGGCTTCTGCTCATTTTAAACTTCTGTCAATTAAGATTTTGTTTCTCGTGGCTATTATTTCTGTATGGAGAGCCAATGAGTTGGCCCTTTGGGCTGATGCCCCTTATATACAGTTTCACCCAGACAAAGTTGTCATATCCTGATGTGCCTTTTCTCCCTGAAGTGATTTCGACTTTCCATGTTAATTAACCTCTGATTCTGCCGACGTTGTTTCCTAATACTACTTCTGATGTTGAGCGCATACTCCATTCCTTGGATGTTTGTCGTCCCTTGGCTTTTTACATTTCCAGAACTAAGGCGTTCGATACTTCTCCTAAACTATTTGTCTGGTTCCATGGCCCACGAAAAGGCACTCTGGCCTTTCCACAATTTCCATGTGGTTTCTGCTATCAGCTTGGCCTATGATCTGGCTGGCAAGGTCAACCAGAGGCGTTGAAGGCACATTCCACAAGAGGCTATGGCTACTTTGACTGCCTGGTCATGTGGCATTGAAGTCCCTGACACATGGTCTACACCATCCACCTTTGTGATGCATTACCGTCTGGACGTCAGGGCCAAAAAGTAAGCAGCTGTCTGAGATTGCAGCTGCCGGTAAGCGCACTTGGAGCGGGGCTGCAGAGGATGGCTAGGGCTGCCCCCCCATGCGGCCCAAACCAAATGTATGTGTGGCCCAAACCAAATTTTCATCTTCTAATGTGGCCCAGGGAAGGTGAAAGGTTGGACACCCCTGGTCTACACCATCCACCTTTGTGATGCATTACCGTCTGGACGTCAGGGCCAAAAAGTAAGCAAGTTTTGGAAGGGCTGTGCTGACTTGAGTGTTGACGTGACGTCCCTCTTTCCGCTAAGTGAGCTTGCTAGTCACCCATTTGTGTGCATTCACAGAGGCCACGAAGAAGAGGTTACTTACCTGTAGCCAAGGTTCTTCGAGTGGTCCTCTGTGAATCCACACATCCCGCCATCCTCCCCTCTGTCTGTCACTTGGTGTCTTGAGCTTGGTTACAATTAGACCCTTGACAGCGGCGGACATTTCAGAACTGAGGTATTACAGGTGGGCAGAGCATGTGCACCACGGGGAAACGTCCTACTAATCACATGTTTTTAAGCTCTAGAAGATTTCGAGGAGTCCTGCGCAGGTGCAGTATAATCCATTTGTGTGGATTCACATAGGACCACTCAAAGAACTATGGTTACAGTTAAGTAACCTCTCTTTTTTACAGATCCAATATAAATGGTCCTGGAACTCCCCGACCAGTAAATCGACCAAAAGTTTCTTTGTCACCTCCTATGACAACAAATGGTTTACCAGATAGCCCAGAAAACAAGGATTCAGCTCTCCCACAAGCAGAAGAGAAAATCAACAGGTTTGTAAGAAAAATAAACATATAGCTAGATTTCTTTAGTGGGTTTTTTGTTTCACATAGACAGTTTTTATCATGTTTTATTCACTTTCTCTAGGATAAACTCCAGGCTTTTTTTTCCTGCGAAGAAATATGGGGAACTTGTGTGAAATATTTCTGTTCTGCTGAGAAAATAGAGTATATGCTGATGCTCATTATTTCTTGCAGGCATGGGCTATCCCTTTCCTTGAGTAGATAAACCTGTTCTGTAAATAATTGGCACATCAGGGTACTGGATTACTATCTATGAATAACCTACTCCAAACAGATCTATTTGTTACCATTAGCATCCATGTGTCTGCAAGATGAAGCTTGAAGGTAGAGAGGAAATTTGTAGTATATTAACTGATGACATAATAAAATCCATTACTAAGAACCACATTTCTGAGTTAGTTGTAAATAGTGGTCTAGTAATCTCGTCAGTGATGGCTTCATTCATCTGTGTTTGAAAATAAAACTCAGTTTTTGAACAAAAATATTGTGAAATGTGAGGTATTATATCTGCATACATTTTTATCTTCCAGTGACTCACCAGCATCTGAGCTGGAAAGAGTTCAAAGCAGCCCTGTAAAAAATAAACACACTGAAGAAGATCCAGCAGAAGTTGAGGGGCGTGAGGTAAAAAGACTTAAATTTGATAAAGAGAAGGAAGTTGAGGAGACCTCCAGTCTGAACAGTTCCAGCGAAGTTTGTTCAGCAATGGTAGAAGAGACTGAGACAACTTCGACATCTCAGAATAAAGAAAAAGAAACCATTGGTGAAAGGCAGCGTTGTAAAGAAGACGATGATGAAGAGGAGGAAGGTATTTTGCTGATTTATTATCATTTTTTTCCTGGTTCTGTGCTTTGTCTTGGGGCTTGGAAATAAAATGTTAATTTAAACAGGTTAATGTCAAATTAGTCATTTTTTCTAGACAGACTGCCCAAAATGCTATCTGTGTAGCATAAATGTAATGCTATGTGTAGTGCTGTGAGGATAGTGCTTTAAAGGAAATGTTAAGAGCAAAGTTATTTATTGATATGTTCTTTGTAGAGAACTTAAATGTTTGCACACTCTGCCCCCATATAGGAAACTTCCATATACAGTGGTGCCTCGCATAGCGAGGTTAATCCGTTCCAGATTAACCACCGCTATGAAAAACATCGCTCAACGGAACAAAAAAACCCATTAAAACGCATTAAACTTGGTTTAATGCATTCCAATAGGCCCTAAACTTACTGTTGAGCGAAGCTTCTCCATAGGGGCGGCCATTTTCGCATCCTCGCAAAGCGAGGGCGTGGCGGGAAAAGTTGCGGCAGCCATTTTGGAACCGCCGATCAGCTGTTCTCCCCGCTTCGTTGTGCGAAAATCGCTAAGCGAATCGCTTAGCGATCGTCGCACAGCGAAAAATGCCATAGGGGCCATCGCTGAGCGAACGCTCCAGCGATGGCCCGGACCCCCTCGCTATGCGAATTCATCGCTCAACGGAGCGATCGCTAAGCGAGGCACCACTGTACCTTTAATAAAAGAATCACTTTAGAAGTAATTTTTTTAACTGAAATGTTAAGTATTTCAGGACTACAACTATCAGAAGCAAAAAAGTTGTATAGCTAAACCTTCTAGAACCTACAGCCCAATCTTGGGATTGCCCAATTGTTTCCATTTGGAATGACTGTCTCCGGGAGTATGTTTGTTAAGAAACTAGTTACAGTGGTGCCTCGCATAGCGAGGTTAATCTGTTCTGGATTAACCCTCACTATGTGAAAACATTTCTGAACGGATCAGGAAAACCCATTGGAAGGCATTAAACATCGTTTAATGCGTTCCAGATGGGCCTAAAACTCACCGTTCAGTGATGTTTTCCTATGGCCGGCAGCCATTTTCGCGCCCTCCCCTCGCTTACCGAGGGTGCGAAAATGCTGCGCGCGGCCATTTCGGGGCTTCCGGCGGCCATTTTGGAGCCGCCGAACAGCTGATCCGTGGGTCGCAAAGCGAAGGTCGGTAAGCAAAACGCTTACCGACCTTCGCTATGCGAGTTTCGCCCATTGGGGCCATCGCTTTGCGATCGTAGTTGCGATCGAAAAAACCCTCGCTATGCGGATTCGTCGTTCTACGGTGCACTCGTTAAGCGAGGCACCACTGTACTGTGATCTCAAACAACCATGCAGAAAACTAATGCAACATACCGTGTTCCCCTGATAATAAGACAGGGTCTTATGTTAATTTTTGCTCAAAAGATCGTATAAGGGCTTATTTTCAGGGGATATTTAATTTTTTTTCATGTACAACCTACATTTATTCAGATATAGTCATGTCATCTTCTGGTTGCTGTACAATAGTGGAGGGAGGAGTTTCAACTGGGGCTTATTTTTGGGGTAGAGCTTTTTTTTACAAGCATCCTGAAAAATCATACTAGGGCTTATTTTCAGGTTAGGTCTTATTTTCGGCAAACAGGGTATCTGTGGAGAAAAATGTATGAAGATGAGTGGAATATAATGTTGATTGTGTGCATTGTTGTACACAACTTAATACAGTGGTGCTGGATTATTAGTGTCCATGTCTACTGCAAGTGGTGTTCAGTGCTGAATCTCATTATTTGAGTGAAATCCAAAACTACAGAAAAATAACATTCATGTCGTCACTCAGATTGGGAGGTGTAACTGTGTTCTCTAAACCAGAGTTGGGGATTCATGTCTCTATATGGAGGTGCAAACATGAATTAACCTGTGATTGGTCTGCACTGACTTTTCCTGGCCCATTCTTAAAGCCAGTAAGAAAGAAGGCTTATGTAGAGGTGCTATATCTATGCTGGATCTCGAGTGTTTTTGTGTACTATTAAATGGTAACTATGTAACAGAGGAATTGCATGGCTACAGAGGTGAATTGGATCTTCGTTGTACTACCTAGAGAGCAATATTCTTTCATGCTTTTAGCCAAATTTCTGTTTGATTTGGGGAAAAATGGTAGGAATCGTGTATCCCTATTTATAGTTACTACTGTAGTCTTTCTTGTTCTTCTTTTAAGAAGCTACATCTAACATTATATTGTAATTTTATTCCAGAATCTCTCATGACACCGCGAGAAAGTATCCCAGAAATAAAAAATCAGGATAAAGACAGTGCATCTTTAACCATGAAAGAAGATGTTTCAGAAGAGAATCATCAGATGGAGGAATCTGACCAGACGGAAGTAGAGAAAGACTTGGCTTCTGAAGACAGTAAAAACAGTGGATCTGTCAGTAGCAGAGCTGACTGTAGTAACACAGAAGAATTGGGCTCTTACACCAGTGAAACTCCTGAAACTGCATCAGAGACCCCAATGGAAAACAGCGATGAAGCCACGGAAGCTCCAGAAGAACCTATGGAACAAGACTAATAATTTAAATATATTTAGAGGCAGTATTTTCCATAAGGCTCTGGTTTTACACTGTATAAATAATTTTATGTAATAAAAGTTGGACCTTTAGTTTTACAAGAGAAGCAGGCTGTAAATGGAACTTCTCAGTGCGTTAAATCCTGAAGGCATTGTATTTGTTACTGTGAAATATCAACACCTTTGGGTCCTGCTTACCGCTGAAATTTCTGTATGGTCAAATCAGTGGTCTGTGTATAGTTTTTTTAATTTAGAATTAAAGTTTTTAAACTGGAAGGTAATTATAATTTTGACAACTTTTTGGAGATTGCCACACTTAATTATTTTTCTCACTTTATTTCCCCTGAATGCCATAGCAGGTTTTTGTGATTTTGTTGTTGTTGTTACAGTTTCAACATTACCATGTGAATTACAGGATTTCTTTAGTTTCCAGGTTTTCATTTTACTGCATTGTGGGTTTCAAATGCTGCATATTTGACACACATTACTTGACAACATGCTAATTTGAAGAAGATCTCTGCTTGCCGTCTTAAATTGTCTACATTTTCCCCTATGGATGCTGAGTTCATTTACATGAGGCAACATTTTCACCTTTAAATCAACCAAATAAAATTTGGCCCACCTGATAACCTGTAGATACAAATATTATTGAAAGTACCAGGTTAAATACATTCCAAGAGATCTGTTCTAACAAAATACTTTTATACATTTTTGAGGTGCCTGTATGAAAAGTTATTCCTGAGGAAAAGTGTTTTAGAACAGACTTAAAAACAACAGCTTCAGCTCTTTTCGTTTTAAATAGGGGAATGTTTGCAGACTTGATGAAATGGTTTCTCTCAACAAAGGCTGTTTCTGGCCTTCGATAATTGTTCAGACAAGGGTGATAAGACTGGTATGAGGTGCTGCAGCATTGCATGCCTTACTTTATGCACCTGAGTTGAATGGCAAGTTAGCAGTTGTAGCTGTGCATAGAAACTACCATATTTGTACATCATTTTGAAAATGGATTCAATATTTTTCAACATGCTACTTTGACAGCCAGTGTTAAATGCTTTCTTTTCCAAAACCAGTTCAGAGCACAACTACTGCTTTAAATTCTCCACATTATATTTTTCAGAAATCAACGTGAAGACGTCAAGATGCAACTTCCCTGTCACATTTACTGGCTGCCAAATTTGTACCTGTTTCTTCAACTGTACCTTTTTGATATTTAGAATTTTTAAATTTCTGTAAAGTAGATTTTTGTAGATTGTAAAGAGTGCTCACTGCCATTGTGAAACGGTATATAATTGTATAATTTGTGTGTAAACTGGATGCTTGGGCTTTCAATACAGTATTCATATAAAGCAATAAATATTAATGTTATAAAATATTTGAGTACATTTGAATCAAAATACAATAGAAATCCCTCTTTTTAGAGGCTGATGTTGCACACCCTGGAGTACAAAAATAACCAAAATGCATGCTAACAATTCTTGTACTGCATGGTGTGCTTCATTTTGGAAAAGGGTGGGTATTGCATTGAACTTGTATTCCAGAATAATTTGGCTGAGTTTGCATATCTATGAGGTGGTAATAAAATTTGCTGTCTATCAGGTTCAGAGCAGAGGAGGAGATGCATATGAAAAGTCCTACTGTTCTATGTAGAGATGATAAAAACAGTTATGTTCAAATTATGTTCCCCTTTGCAGCTGTAGGAAGGTTGAATCAGTAGAGAAAGTGTGAAAGGAAGCATTAAAACCAAAACAGAAATGAGAACTATTTCCAAAAATGTATGGCTATAACATTCCCTCCACCCCTTACTTTTGTTTTTCTTTCAGGGATATTTTGCCAACAAGAACAAATTTTAAGTTTAGCAATTTCTGAAATTTTCTTTAGAATATTTGTGAAAATATTGTTAATAAACCTATTCTTTATGCATCTGTGATATTTGGACATGTTTATTTTAGAAAAATGCAATGATATTTCATATTTCTTTCTTGTGACCAGTAGATTTATGAACTGTGAATTTATTTAGGCAATAGCTACAGGAGCTTGAAATATGGACTCTTGGTAGTGCTTTCCTTTGTCTACTCAGACACCAGTCCTATCGAATCCACTGGGCATTACTTAATAGGTATAGGATTGCTGCCGAAGTAAAGTGTTAGGAGTATTACAGTTACACAGTCATTTTGATGGTGCTGAGTGAACTAATTTCAGATAAGGGGCTGATGCCTATTTGGCAGTTATTAGAGTTGCCAAAAGGGGTTTGTGGGCAGGTGTAACTACTCAGGGAACTTTCGGATGTTGTCATGGTTAGCTACTTTTTCTGTTGGGAGCAACGAAAATTGTGTTGCTGCAGCTTACTTTTAGGATAGTGGTTGCAGACATAGATTTCCACTTCGCAGGGAATCCCCATTCTCTTTTGGCAGAAAAGTAACCCTTGGCCCACAGAGTGCCACATGCCCTGGCACACTTCCTCCTCTGAGAGCTGGCACAAGCAGGGCTTTGAATATTGGCCACTTGCAAAGGCGACACCATTATTTAAACAGCCAATTCCATTCAAAGAGATGGGAGCTGCTTCCAAGCAAATGTGTTTAGTATCTGGAACATAAAGTCCTCTCCTAATTGCAGTGTTTACTGCTGGGAGATAACTGTGTTCTGTGCTACTTAAAATAAATCTAATCGCAGTGTGTACTCTGGAAGGCAGCCAAGCTGCAAAGGCAATTGCCCTCCACTAACACATGGATTCAATGGCTTTTTTTCAGCTAGAGATGGCCATCTAATATGCCTCAAGGTATACATAATTCATAGATAAAATAAAATGCTGAAATTTTCATCCAAAGACTTCTTTCTGAAGTCACAATTAGGAATGAATGGGAAAAGATTAGTCATGTGTGATATTTGTGACTGCCATCTTGTGTATGAATACTGGAGATGGTTTGAGAATACAAATAAGTTCAGATTTTGTAGTGGTAGCCTGTATTCTTTCTAACCTATCCCCTGTTCATATGTTTTAACTGCACACCTTGCTTTCTTGAGTTTTTGCTTATGCTAGAACAGGATTTTGTCCTTTGATGGGAACCACATCCCATGATTAGTTCTTATTTTTAAGGTGATACTATATACAGTGGTGCCTCACTTAACGATGTTAATTGGTTCCATTAAAAAATCGTTATGTGAAAACATCGTTAAGTGAAACACCATTTCCCATAAGAATGCATTGAAAACCGGTTAATCCGTTCCAATTGGAACAAATTAATGCTTGCAATCATTAGCCCACCTCCTGAAACCTATGCAAACTTAATTTGGTGTTGTTCTGAGTCGTCGTTAATTTTTGGTGATTTTTTTCCTCTCTCATTGAAAAGCATTGGACCGTCCGTCCAATGCTTTTCAATGAGAGAGAGAAAAAATCACCAAAAATTAACGAAGACTCAGAACAACACCAAATTAAGTTTGCATAGGTTTCAGGAGGTGGGCTAATGATTGCAAGCATTAATTTGTTCCAATTGGAACGGATTAACCGGTTTTCAATGCATTCTTATGGGAAATGGTGTTTCACTTAACGATGTTTTCACATAAC